CTTCAGTAGATCTCTTATCATAAGTTAACTTCATCGAATCATTCATCCTTTCCGATAACACTTTCATAAACTCTGACACATTCTCAGGCAACTCAGAAAGCACTTGTATCGTTAAAGTATCTCCAGAAAGAATTTTTACGAAAAATTAACTAACGAACGGAGGCGTAACAATATATTTAATCTATTTGAACAACATGTTAGGTATTAAATTAATAATGCTATAGGCTTAACCTTCTACACCACACTTTTGTTTTATTATTGGTTGTCTACTATACTAAGCCATTTATCAGAATTTTTTTCACAGAAAATTACTGATAATTAATTTATATTCCATCCACACCATGTACTCTGTTGTGGAATTCATTAATGACAAAGAAGTAGCTATTCGACTTACATCATGGGTTGTTAACAGCACGACAACATACTGCTTATGACCTTCATTCAAGTGTACTGCAAATCTGAACAAAGCAGTGTACACTGCTTGACCAGTCAACTTGGAAACCATATAAACGTCATGAAGTGTACAAAACAGGTTTGTGGTTTTACATTCTTTAATATTGTAACTATATACTTAAGGTTTAATAATGCAACAATATTGGGAAATTTTCAAGTTTCTGTGACATTTAGATGGCCTATATAAGGTGTGGCATTCAATTATTATCTGATAAGTTCTTCCAAAAAAAACTATACGGAAATTTGGATTTGTATAATACACTTGATATGCTTAAGAATATTCTGAATTAGCTCTAGAACCCTCTGTATTCATAAGTTTCTGTGAAGTGGTATTTTTGAACAGCCTTTTTTTATATTAAGATGAGTACAGCAAAGAATGAAGTAAACTTAGCTAGCAGAAGACACATCTCAGCTAGAATCTGAGACAGATCAACTAGATGAACTGCAGCAAAATATGTGAAGATCACATACGAATACTTCAGTAGTTGAAATATGTCATAGTTCATACTTGATGACTTAATTAGTAATAAAAATAGGTTATATAATCAAAGCTTTTAAATTTAATATGACAAGTTGATAAATAATACATTATTCTGCATTTATGAAAAACTTTTTTGATATTTCATAAACTTTTAAAGGGACAAAAAGGAGCTTATTAGCCCATCAAGGATGTCCCTTCCAGCTCCCAACTATGACCACCTCATATATTCATCCAATATTTTCTGGAACTCAGTTAAATTTTCTGCCTTCACCACTCTTGAAAGTAGCTCAAAAGCCAACCACCCTATTGCAAAAGTAATAGTGTCTAAACTGCAGACTCCTATGTTGCCAAAATTTGAATTTATGACCCCTTGTACCATTTTTACGCTGCTAAACACAAAAAACTTTGATGGATCTATATTATCAATGCCCTTAATAATATTAAACACCTCAATCAAATTCCCTCTGACCCTTCTCCTCTCCAGATAAAACAAGTTTAGAGATCTTAGTTTCTCCTCATAGGACAATCCCATCATCCCAGGTATCATCCTAGTGGCTCTTCTCTGATCCTTCTCCAACAATTCAATGTCATTTTTGAGGAAGGGAGCCCAAAACTGTACACAGTACTTTAAATGAGGCCTTACAAGTGATCTGTACAGTGAAACAATGATATCCATTGTTTTGTATTCAATATTTCTATAGATGCTACCCAAAATCCTATTAACCCTATTGCTAGCTACAATACACTGATTAGATGATTTAAGTGACTTTTTGTTATCACAACACCAAGATCTTTTTCTTCAGCCACAGTATTTAATGTATTCCCATTTAAATTGTAACAATATGAATTGTCAAAACGTACATGTATCACCTTACATTCTGGATAGTTAAACATCATGTGCCACGTATTGGCCCAATGCATCCAATGATCTAAATCTCCCTGTAAGTCTGCAGCATCTTTGATACAGTTAGTCACCCCAGAAACCTTAATGTCATCTGCCAACTTCAAAATTCTGTTAGTCATTCAAGAGTCGATATCATTAATATAAATCACAAACACCAGAGGACCCAGCACATAGATCTGAGACACACTGCTTGTAAATGTGATCCAGTCAGATATAACTCTCCTTATTACTACTCTCTGCTTTCTCTTCTCTGGCCAGGTTTTCTATCCAACTTAATAACATTTCCTCCACACCCGCAGATTTAATTTTTGTAACAAGTTTTTTGTGAGGCACATTATCAAGCACTTTCTGAAAATCAAGGTAAACCAAATCCACAGTATGTCCTTCATCAATTCTTGCAGTGACATCCCCAAAGAATATCAGAAGATTTGTTGAACAAGACTTTCCCTTAGTGAAACCATGCTGGCTCTTTGACATTATATCAAACTGCTTTAAGTAACTATGCAATGCATTTTAAATCACACTCTCCAAAATCTTTTCAACTATTGATGTAAGACTATATGGCCTATAATTTCCTGCACAATGTTTATCACCTCCTTTAAATATAGAACTAACATTAGCCAACTTTCAATCTTTTAATACTCTTCATACTGTTCATAGTTTTCAGTTGTTGTGTTATCCTGCTTTCAGTCATCATAGGTAAAAGATTCATAATAAAACTTTACTTGCAGCAACATTAAAATCAGAAGATTACATATTTATGCAAGTCCTCAGAAGGTTTTCTATATCCAGCAGATTTTGAAAGATATCTACTAACACAGTTAGAAGAAATAAAGGTCTCACAATTTAATCTTACAACTCTTCCACATTCTCATGAAAACTAAGCATACAGTGACTTTCATAAAAACTATTTCACATCCAACAGTTAATATAATTAAATCTTCAAAAGTGTTTATATTATTTATAGAAAACTTATGTGTGAATGAAAGTACCATATTTTTACTAAATCACTTCACTTACTATCAATAATGTTCTTTAAGTCCAGGAAATGCTTTCATCTCCCCACTTCCTTTCCAGTTGTAATTCTTTTCATACCCATTGGTTAAAATGTGGCATAAGTTATACCAAGTTGCTTCTTTAAAAGTGGAGCCCCCAATTGTGCTTAAATTGTTGGTCTGTGAATAGAATAGAATACACACTTTTTGTTAAGACATTGCAAATAACTATCCTAAGCAGAATTATATTTTAACGGTAGAGAAATAAATTTATTTTTTTTGTGTAAAGATATTTCATGGTGGAGTATAGAGTACTTAAATAAGTGTTTACTTTCATAATCTCCTAATGTTTTCGTTTTTAAAAATGGTTTGTACATCAATACTGCCCAGAAGTAATATTACTTCTTTTGTTTCATTATCATAAAGCCAGTTCTTTAAGTAAGTGCAATTGAAATATGTAGTGAAATGTATCTAAAATAAGTATTTGATCAGTTTGTTTTGTTTAAAGTTACTTACAACACATTCTTGGATCATCCAACTTCACTTCTAAATTCTGTTGTCTGGCTCACTAAGCCACTTTTCCTCATGAGTTGATCAATCTTGCTCATCATACGAGTTTGATTCTGTTCAGTCTTGCGAATACCAAACATAACACCAAGTTTAAAATGTTTTTGACACACCCGACCAAGACTTTTATCAATTATTCTTCCAATTTTAAATATATGATTTTTTTATATCATAACAATTATAAAAAACCTAACAGAAGAAACTACAGACTAGACAAGGTGAGCTACCCATTACTGAAAGTTTACATAGAAAAAATTGTTAGTACAGTTTTAGTGTTTTGATGATGGTATTATGTTTGGTATTTGGTTTGGTATTATGTTTGGTATTTGGTTTGGTATTATGATGGTATTATGTTTGGTATTATGATGGTATTTGGTTTGTTATTATGATGGTATTATGTTTGGTATTTGGTTTGGTATCATGATGGTATTATGTTTGGTATTTGGTTTGGTATCATGATGGTATTGTGTTTGGTATTATGATGGTATATGTTTGGTATTATGTTTGGTATTATGATGGTATATGTTTGGTATTATGATGGTATTATGTTTGGTATTTGGTTTGGTATCATGATGGTATTATGTTTGGTATTTGGTTTGGTATATGTTTGGTATTATGATTGGTATTATGATGGTATTATGTTTGGTATTTGGCTTGGTATTATGTTTGGTATTTGGTTTGGTATTATGTTTGGTATTATGATGGTATTATGTTTAGTATTTGGTTTGGTATTATGTTTGGTATTATGGTGGTATTATGATTGGTATTTGGTTTGGTATTATGATTGGTATTTGGTTTGGTATATGTTTGGTATTATGTTTGATATTATGATTGGTATATGTTTGGTATTATGTTTGATATTATGATTGGTATATGTTTGGTATTAT